AAACAACCACTTACATATTAATAGCATCACGTGTAGATCTCCAACCACAGAAACATCATTATAGGAGCTGCAGAGCCAGCCGAACATCGTCATCAGTGGGCATCATTTACCTGCTGTCCTTCAAACCACTTTGTAATTTCTTCCCATTTGGAGCTGTCAGTCGTGTTCAGGAGCAGATTTCACACTTGTCAGACGATGGATGTCTCATAAGGCACAAACTTTTCATGTAGACAGCAGGAACAAGGGCCATTAACCCTGTGACAGTAAAATCATCTGGTCTAGACCTGCAGTGAAGAAACCGGTTTACATCTCAGCTGGTTGGATGTTCAACATTTATTCATAAAAAGGCAAATAAAAGCTCTTTCTCACTCGTTGATGGAACTGGACCAATTCAGCTGACCCCAGTTAATAAAATTTCTGTACTTTTTTGCTGGATCCATTGTAATAGGGGATTTTTACATTCATGCTTACATTGGAGCGATGTTGGCACAGGAATTTAGTGCTCGCCCCATAATTAGAAGGTTGCAGGTATGAGCCCCCCTCAGTCTGTCGCTGTGTCTTTGGGCAAGACACTTAACCCCCCTTGCCTACTGGTGGTGGTCAGAGGGACCGGTGGCGCCAGTGCTCAGCAGCCTTGTCTCTTTCAGTGCGCCCTAGGGCAGCTGTGGCTACATCGTAGCTCATCCCCACTGGCGTGTGAATGTGTGTGTGAATGGGTGAATGACTGATTGTGTTATAAAGCACCTTGGGGGGTTCTAGGACTCTAGAAGGCGCTATATAAAATACAGGCCATTTACCATTGAAAGTGATAGCCTGAATTTAGCCTTTAGTAATATCTTACTCAATTGGTTTTACCCAAAGAATACATAGCTCCACCCACTCCTGCCATCATACATTGGACCTTGTGCTGACTTATGGCATTGAGTGTGAGGAAATAACGATCTTTCCGCATAATCCAGTCCTCTCGGACCACTTTCTGATGACCTTTGAGTTTTTTATAACTGAGTTCTCGAGACATGAAAGTAAATTTCACTATAGTCGGTCTCTAACTGACAACGCAGTTGCATCTTTTAAATCAACTGTTCCATCTTTACTGTCCTCAGCATCTCAGAGGAACGTAGCAGATGGCAATATTTTCAGTTCTAGCCCCTCACATATTGATGCCTTAGATCATCATGTTAATTCCTCTTTACGTGTGGCATTAGATGATGTTGCCCCTTTAAAAAAGAAGGTAATTAGGGACAGGAAGTTGGCTCCTTGGTTTAATTCTCATTTACGAGCCTTAAAACAAAACTCTAGGAAATTGGAGAGAACATGGCACTCTACGTACCATGAGGAGTCCTACATATCCTGGAAAAATAGTCTTGTGCTTTATAAAAATAAGCTTCGACAAACTAGAACTGCTTATTTTTTATCGCTAATTGAGGAGAATAAGCATAATCCTAAATTTCTTTTCAGTACAGTTGCTAAACTTACACAGAATCATAGCTCTGAGCCATCTATTCCCTTAGCCCTCAGCAGCAATGACTTCATGGGATTTTTTACAAGTAAAATTAATTCTATTAGAAACAAAATCTTTAGCATCCTCCCTAATGCGATTTCTTCTTCCTCAGTAAGTGAGGCAGCATCAGAGGTGACTGTAGAACCTCATCTGTGCTTGAACCGTTTTGATCCAGTTGAGCTTTCAGATTTATCAAAAATATTAGCTTCATCTAAACCTTCAACTTGCATTTTGGATCCAATCCCAACCAAATTATTTAAAGAAGCATTTCCTTTGGTTACTGCCCCCATTCTAGATATAATCAATCTATCCTTAGTAAATGGGTATGTACCACAGGATTCTAAGGTTGCTGTAATCAAACCTTCACTTAAGAAGCCTTCTCTGGATCCAGATGACCCATTGAATTATAGACCAATATCTAACCTTCCATTTTTATCCAAAGTCCTGGAGAAAATAGTGGCCATCCAAGTATGTGAGCATTTAAACACTAATGCTCTGTTTGAGGAATTTCAGTCTGGTTTTAGAGAGTATCACAGCACTGAAACTGCATTAGTGAGAGTTACAAATGATATTCTCATGGCCTCAGCTAAGAATCTTGTGTCTGTTCTAGTCTTGTTAGATCTCAGTGCTGCCTTTGACACAGTTGATCACAATGTTCTTGTATTTTTGGTTTGTAAACCCAAGTTGCCCTTCAGCTTTATAAGTTAACAACTCGTTCAGTTTGTCCCGTTTTAGTTTTAGCAGATTCAATGTGACACTATTTTGTATTCTTTGATATTCCCTCTCTAATTTCTTCATTTCGTTCTCCAAACTAAACTGTTCTGCATGTCTTTCTTTTTTAACCTTGATGATATTGCAATGATATTCCCCCTTTAAACACCCCTCCCACAAGGTGGTTGGGGATACTGTGTTATTATCATTAAACCGAAAATATTCTATTAACCCTTGTTTAATTTCCTGTTGAATTGCTTTGTTGTATTAGTATAGATATTTTTGCTCTCCAGTATTTAAACTGATTACTTGGATTCACCTTAAATTTCAGATAAACTGGAGCATCGTAATAGCTTCAATACTACACTGGGTCGCTCTGTGGAAATCTACCAGACATCAAAAACGTATCTAACCTCGAGGAACTGCCGTGCACATTTGAAAACAAACTATAATCCTTTTCTTTGGGGTGAAGACGCCGCCATTCGTCAACTAAACCAAGCTCGTCCATCAGTGCATATAGATTAAAAGATTTCTTCGATCTTGGGCCAAAGTCAGCAGGGAGCATATCTACAGATGCTTTAATTACACAATTAAAGTCACCTCCCATCAGTATAATTCCCTCTGCTTTGTCCGCTATCAGCAGCCATGCTTTTGAAAAAGTTTGGGCAGTCCTCATTCGGGAAATATAGATTAAGTAGTCATTTTAATGCCACCTATACATCCAATCACCATGACATATCTTCCTTCTTTATCACTAATGGTTTTCTCACGACAGAAGTAGATAGATTTATTAAAAAGCACTGTGACCCGTCTCTTCCTCCCATTGCACTGATATGAAGAGCAACCCACTCTCTCCTCAGCTTCACACGTTCCTTTTCTGAAAGGTGTTGATGCTATAGCACAATGGAGTTGTTTCAGTTGGTTCAACACTTATTTTCTTTTTAACAAGCTACTCAATCCTTTAACATTATAAGTAACACACGTTATTTCAGCCATCTATTGATAGTCAATACCCTCAAAATAACTAACCTCATCATGTTTGCTATATGAGTCAAAAGGTTGAGAAGAAATATTCACGTGGTTTAGGCCCTCCACACGTCTCAGGACACGAACACACAAGAATGAACTAATAATAACAAAGTTACCCGACCGGATCTGATGAACATGTTTAGAAGCAAAAACCTGAATTGATCCAGTCCTGATGAACCCGTGTAGAAACGCAGATGCTCTCAAAGCGCTACGCTGCGATGTCGGCAGTAGTGTACCTCCACTGGATCCTCACGCTCTGTCCTTAAATGTATTTATTTATTTTTCTTTTAACAAATACTGCTTGCAACTATGTAGATGTGCTTGACGCCAGGATCAGTGTTCATTTAAAACAAGGCTTGGAACTCGGCGTTGGATAGTGTTGCTGAGCTTCTCCTGGGTCTCCTCTCCACCGCGGACCACCCATGCTGGGACAGCTCCGTCTCCAGTCGCCTTGAGACGACTTATCATCATTTGGCGCGATATAAATAAACTTGACCGATCGCTGCGGTCTGCGGCCAAACTTGTATTTTAACCAACAGTCAGAGGTTATCTCCTAGCTGTGTTTGCTCAGTTAGCTCCAGCCCTTTTCCCATTTTTGGTTTGTCTGGGCATAACAAGACGTGTGGCATGGCGAGATGTCGTTAGTGGGAACCTCACATTTGGCTTCATAAATGTCTTTTAGGGAGCAGTGAGTGGGACGTGTCTGCGTGTGACCTGGTTTACTCGAGATCAGTTACTGCTCGATGTAGACGACCACGGGTGACGGACAGTGTTGAGGAGGGTTACTGTCCACTACTCACATGTTCCACATCCAAGGAATGCGTTTCTGCAAAGACGCAGACAGTTTGGGAACTTCTGCCACCTACAGGCTTGGCATGCCTACGAGCGAGCTATTTTCTAATCCGCTCAGCCTAATGCTCTGAATCCCACACGTTGTATTTCAATTTAAGTGAAAGGGAATTATTTGAGTTTCGACTGTGTCTGTCACATACTTAGATATTTATCAGCTTGTAAAACTCTGTAAATAAAAAGACTACAAGTCAGATGTGTCGTATATGACGTCACAACAGAATCCCTTCTGCCCCAGCGTAGCTGCTACTTACCACATGACAGGATGTAGAATGGTTTTCTGCACATCTGGTGCTCCTTCTGACGTCCTGGAAGAAGGCTGGGACGCTCGCTGAACTAATCTCCTCCTCTTTCACCGTGTTCACGTGAACATTTGTACCCCTGAAGGTGTTTTCACACAAACTCTAAAATAACTTTTGCCACCAGTTGAAAAAAGTGCTTTCTTGGCACCAGAATGTGTCTTTAACATCCTCGGACATCATAGGGTCAGGGTTGGACTTTGTTTCAGGGACCCGTGCTTCAGAAGTAGACTTGGTGGTGGTGTGGTCCTATGTTCATTCCAACGGGCGGGGTGGGGTTGATGAAAACCTGGCTACATGTGCCCATGACCTGAGGGGGGAGAGGATGAGGAGGTTCCTTCTGGATCTTCCTCATCCTGCTGAGGCTCCTGAATTAAAGAACGTTTGATTAGTTGTTCCATCAAAACCCTTAGAACTAGACTTTTGTGTGTGTGTGTGTGTGTGTGTGTGTGTGTGTGTGTGTGTGTGTGTGTGTGTGTGTGTGTGTGTGTGTGTGTGTGTGTGTGTGTGTGTGTGTGTGTGTGTGATGTCTCCTTGGTTGTCATCAGACCCTTCATCTGCCTCTGACGTGTCCTGTTGGAGCTACATGACGTCTTCCTCTCCCTCTGCAGGTGTGTCTGCTGGAGTGTGAGGGTCACGTCTCTTCTTCACTCACGTGGGAAGTGTGTAAACGTGCTGTAGAGCTATCCCACCATCCCTCACTCTCTGATGGAGCCAGTCTGTTCAAGAGAGCGGGCGAGGAGCTGGACTTGACCCTTCCTGACCTGAACGTAGACAGAGAAGTGCTGCAGTCCGCAGCAGTAAAGCTGCTCCAGGATGAAGATGAGGACGAAGGCCCCACGGAGCAGCGCAGCGTCCAGTATGACTCATCGTTGCTGGAGTCTTCGGAGGAGGGGGAGGGCCTGTGGGGTCTGGGTCTCAGTCTGGCAGAGGAAGACAGGGAGGAGACAAACTCCAAGAAAGACGTCCAGCTAGAAGGGGACCAGAAGGACAGCTCGGAGAGTCTCACCCTATCCAAACGCTTCGGTGGCTTTCAGAGGGGTCGTCACGGATACAGAAAGCTGATGGGCTCACCCATGAGGGCTTTACAAAAGCGCTACGGCGGATTCATTGGGGTCCGGAAATCAGCTCGAAAGTGGAACAGTCAGAAACGCGTGAACCAGCTGCTGAGGCAGTACCTGGGCATGAGGAGCAACCGCAGCGGCAGGCTCAACAGCATCCCCATGACTCGAGTCTGGAGGCAAAACAAACTGTGACGCGTGTTGGTGTCCCAGAACCACGCCCCGGTGACCTCAGCTTCCCCATCCGTTTCTGTTCAGCAGCTCTTTGAGTTAACCCGTGACGTCAGAACAACAGACTCCACCCCTCTGCACCTGTCTGAGTAACAAAGAATGTTTTGATGGTGATGTCCTCCTACTGAACATATCTACATGCCGTTCTGTGAAATAAAAGAATTAGAGAAGTGCAGCTGAATATATTTTTGTGTGTCGGTAATAAAACTGAACCAGATGATGGAAAAGTGGTCGACTGCTAAATTCTTCGGACGTCAGGGTGAGATGTTGAATGTACTGTCTCACATGGATGGAGGGAACGTGGGTTGTTGCACTCTGTAGGCAGGATGGACTCATCCTCGTAAAGAAAAGCGTTTGCAGCTCTGGGACTGAGTTAGCCAGACGTCGGGGCAGAAACGAGGAGCCTAGAGAAACTGGCTCTAGTTCAGTTAGACGTAAACGGGTCGGGCTTTGAGACGACTGAGGCACAAACTGTTAATTACTGGTAGAAGACTCCAATCTTCTGCTTAAGAAATGTAATTAATTCCACACAATGGAGATAAAATTGGTTTTCTGAACTTTATAAACGGAACTAAAAGACAACAGGAAGGATCCTGCTGCCTTCCTCCCTCCTCCTCCTGAGCTCACATGTAAAAAACATCTCCTCCCAGTGGACCAACAGTGCCCTCTAGCGTTGGAGCACGCTAAAATCATGCTGATCACTTTGATCCTAACACCCTTCCCAGATACAGATCGGTGTGGGATAGCTGCTCCGTGCAAGACGAACGTCTCCTGCTTTACTGAGTCTTCATCAAAGTTAGGAGAAAGGCGGAGGATGTGAAATAGCACATTTTAGGAGTTTTACCAGAATGTGCAGGCGAATCTAAAATGATCTAAAAAATAACAGAAATAAAAATCACGTTTACACTAAAAATAACTGAAAGAGCTGAAGGGGAATCGCTAAGCGCCCAGCTACTTAAGTCAAAGCAAAGATAAAACATCAGATTTTAGACGTAAAAGGAGAAATAAGGTGAAAAGAAATGTTAAAGCTGCCAACAGTGGTTCATGGGGGTTGCCATGGTAACCGCATACCTGTGTTTCTGTAAACTTAAAAAGCAGCAGACCACAACTAAGATTTCTGCTCTGAAGCTCACCTGAGCTCTTAAAGGGGCGGGACTTTCCCACCCGTGTCACCAATTGTTCTTTGCTCATGTCGTCCACGCAGCGTGGCTAACGATAGCACACATGTGCATGTTTGGTTTTTAACACGAACGTTTGCAAATGTTTTGACAGAGTTAAAAACCAGAGGAGTCGGTGCTCGTGCTTCTGGGTTGCAACATCTTTAACGTGTCCAACAGGTGAAGCAGCTCTGATCAGCTGTGCATCCTGGCGAGCCATCTCAGGTGGGAACGCTCTGCCGTGGGTTTAGTCTCTAAAGCTCAGAAAACAAATAGCGCTGAAGTGCTTACTGGTGTTTGATTAAACCAGTTACTGATGCTAGCGTGTTTTCCTTTGGTCCAACATAGAAGGCGGACGTTGTGACAGCCGTGTTCCGGTCGGACCGGATATGTACCGATGAATGAACCATGTGGTGCAGAATCAGGTCTGTTTAAACGCTCAGTGCTTTTCTTTTATTGTGTTTGACAATATATTTCCTCTAATACAAACGCGTCTCCTCATGTCTGCGCGCCCGCCATGAATCCATCCCATCGCTGGTCATTAACACTGGTGGTGTGCCGACACCGGGCAGGAAGGAAGCCATGGAAGGACCTTGGTTGAATCAAACCAAATGTAGCTTATTCGTGTGAGTGAATGTTCCAACAAAGTGCCAAAAACATAGAAAAGATGCGTCCGCCTCGAACACGGGCCAGACGAGACGATAAAAAACCAAGAGGGTACAAAATAGTCATACATTATATAACGTACACCACCACTGGAATCAAGAAAACGGCCGAGTCTAATACAGCGGAGCTACAGGAGCAGAGTACAACCTTTGGATAAAAGGGGGCGGGGCTTAGCACATCACAGGGTCAGTCAACAGCACCTTTGTCAGACTTCAGTTTCCAGGAGTTACAAAGATACACAAAAGTTCATTTGCATTCCTTTTAGGAAAGAATATAAACAAAAATAATAAAAACATGTAAAAGTTGGTTTTCTGGATGGCGGCCAGGCCCTGATTTAGATCCGTTTGTTCTCTTGATAAAAGTCTTTTCATCCGCTCGTTCCCTCGCCGCCTCCTCTAGTCGGGGAAGCGCTGGCAGGCCTTCTTCCAGCGGCAGGCCGTGCACCACTGGTCTTTGCGCTCCACGCCGTACACCTTGCGACACTTCTTGGCCTCGCTGCGGCCTTTCCTGCAGGAAACGGAAGGAAGGGTCACGTCCTGACTAGCTAAAGCATCGGCCAGGTGTGGGAGCCTGAATACCTGAAGGAGCACTGAGTGCGGGAGGGCGACGCGCTCATGGGCTGCAGCCGGTTCTGTTGGAGCCACTGCTCCCCGACGCTAACGGACCGACAACGAGGTTTCACCATCTGAGGAGACAAAGGCACCTCAGTAGGAACACGTCTACGATGTCTACCAAAGAGGCGTGTTTACTCCTAAAACACTGCCAGGTTAACGCAGCAGCGCCAGAACCAAAGCTAAAGACCAACCTGAGAGTTGTTGTGGCTGGACATGGAGGTGGAGGGGGTCCAGCCCTGGGGACAGGGGTTTCTGGTGGCCATAGAGACCTGGACAGGGCTACAGGCCTGTGGGGGGTGAGAGAGACACTGATCACTCTCCCATGAGATGACATCACATCTAAAACATGAAGATGCTTTCGTTCTGGAACTGATCCAACATGTGGGAGTCGCTCCAGGAAACAGGAAGCTCTGAGAGACTCGAATGTTTTATCTGCTCCCAACATTCCATATGGAAACCATGGTGACCATCCTCCCATAAGCAGAGCACGGTGGTAGCAGCATCATAATGTGTGTGTGCGTGTCTAGTCCTGATCTGTGTGTGTGTGTGTGTGTGTGTGTGTGTGCGTGTCTAGTCCTGATCTGTGTGTGTGTGTGTGTGTGTGTGTGTGTGTGTGTGTGTGTGTGTGTGTGCGTGCGTGTGTGTGTGTCTAGTCCTGATCTGTGTGTGTGTGTGTGTGTGTGTGTGTGTGTGTGTGTGTGTGTGTGTGTGTCTAGTCCTGATCTGTGTGTGCGTGTGTGTGTGTGTGTGTGTGTGTGTGTGTGTCTAGTCCTGATCTGACTGTGTGTGTGTGTGTGTCTAGTCCTGATCTGTGTGTGTGTGTGTGTGTGTGTGTGTGTGTGTGTGTGTGTGTGTGTGTCTAGTCCTGATCTGTCTGTGTGTGTGTGTGTGTGTGCGTGTGTGTGTGTGTGTGTGTGTGTGTGTGTCTAGTCCTGATCTCTGTGTGTGTGTGTGTGTGTGTGTGTGTGTGTGTGTGTGTGTGTGTGTGTGTGTGTGTGTGTGTGTGTGTGTGTGTGTGTGTGTGTGTGTCTAGTCCTGATCTGTCTGTGTGTGTGTGTGTGTGTGTGTGTCTAGTCCTGATCTGTGTGTGCGTGTGTGTGTGTGTGTGTGTGTGTGTGTGTGTCTAGTCCTGATCTGTGTGTGTGTGTGTGTGCGCGTGTGTGTGTGTGTGTGTGTGTCTAGTCCTGATCTGTGTGTGTGTGTGTGCGTGTGTGTGTGTGTGTGTGTGTGCGTGTGTGTGTCTAGTCCTGATCTGTGTGTGTGTGTGTGTGTGTGTGTGTGTGTGTGTGTGTGTGTGTGCGTGCGTGCGTGCGTGTGTGTGTGTGTGTGTGTGTGTGTGTGTGTGTGTGTGTGTGCTCTGCAGGCTGCTGAGGGTCTGGTCTCCTTGCTAGCCATCACAAAGCATCCATTTACAGGCGGGGCGGCTCTGGGTCACCAGTGAAATGTGCTGCTCCGTGGCGCATAAACAAGGCTGCAGCTCATTGGCTCGTGACAGAGGCTGTCTGTTTTTTCTTGGGGGGGGGGGGGGGGGGGGGGGGGGACACACACCTCTGGAGCAGTAAAACAACCAGCACCAGGTTCCTGCTCTGATCAACTAGTAATGTCTGATTCTGGATCAGGAAACATGCTGGATGATGATTACTGCTAGGTGGGGTTAGCCCTACTTTCCACCGGAGTGAGAGCGGCGTGTAACATAACAGATGCGTTTACCTGTGAGCTGCCTTCCAACCAGGTGAGTTGCAGATGTGAAACGGGATCAAACTGGTTTTGTGAGGTCACAAAATCATGATTACAAGCAAGGAGACAGACAGCCGCATGAATCCAAGGAGGTCTGTAATCGTTTCTGTTGTTTACATCGGCTACGGACGTTCCACAGGAAGTGACGTACGTTCATCTGCACGTGACTTTTATTTTGAAAACTTCTGGATGTTTACACTGTTTTTACCAGCCTTCCTGTCTGCCTCGATCTGAAAGGCGGAGTTTGACGCATTTGACAGCGCAGTGCTTAAAAACCAGCTTCTGGCACGCGTCCAAAACGTCACACTTAGCTGCTGGTGAACAGAACCCGTCCACCATCGCGGTGGTGCGTTCACGTCTGGTGGAAGGAAGGGCTCGGGGTTTCGGACTTGCTGAACACATACTGATGTTGACTTGGAACTCTTTCTCACCCGTGTGAGGACACGTACGCCCACCTGATAGAGATGCTCCGAGTGGATCTGCCAGAAGCTGCTGGGGGCCGACTGGCTGAGGGAACTGGGTCTGCTCGGGCCGGGCCCAGAGCTGGAGTTGGACCTGGGCCTGTGAGCCATAGGGATCTGGAGCTCTGAGCCGGAAGGTGAACCACACGAGGCCCAGCAGAGATTAGGATTAGAGGCCTGAGCCGGACCTGGACCCGGAGCAGAGCCGGCCTCACAGCAGATCTTAGTGTAGTAGAAGTCCTCCTCCCTCTGGGACTGATCCGACCCACTGCTGCAGAGAGAGAACAGTGTCAGCAGAACTCTGTAGTCTCACCTTTCACCAGCTGGAGACTTCACTCATTCACTCATTCACTCATTCATCCATCCAAACGGCTGGCAGAAAAGATCAGGTATCTCCTGTTGTTCAGGAAGAGCTTCGGAGGTCTGCTCACCCCAGGTGTGTCACTCGGATGTGTCGCTTGATTCCCACCGAGGACGTGAGGACCTTCCCACAGCTGGGCCACAGACACTTGTACACACACCTCAGGGAGCTCTGTGGGACCAGAACCGAACCCGGGTCAGGACCAGAACCCTCACACCCCACAGATAAGGACCAGAACCCTCACACCACATGTCAATCATGTCGGATCTGTCTACCTTTGGCTTTTTGGCGGTAAGCTCCTCCCCCTGATCTGGCTCCAGGTGCAGGCCTTCGTCAGGACTGCTGTCTACTTCAGTGACAGACGGCGAGGGGGCGGGGCTTACATTGCCATGATCCCAGCTCCAGTAACCGCTGCTGCCGCTGTCGGACAGCTCCCCACCCCCACCCTCCATGTCGACCGATGAGGAGGATCCTGCTGGAGAAAGATTGGACTAGTTTGGTCACTCAGACGGGTCACAGCTGGTTCCAGTCAGAGGAGACACGTTAGCGAGTCGAACCTGGACCAGGATCCGTCTGTGGGGGGCTCTGAACCACGGGGCTGCAGGACAAGCTGGTCAGGACCATAGCAGCCATGATCTCGTCCATCTCCACAGACTCCGGGCTCTTGAAGCTGCAGACGACAGAGAAATACGCTCAAGAGGATAGTCAGATTCCTGCAGCAGCACTGTGAGACGCCCCTCACCTGTCTGCCGCCTCTGCGCCGGCTGACACGCTGTTGAGGTAAACCGCGGCTCCTGCGGGCTGGGTGGGGGCCGCCAGGTTGCCCCAGACGAACATCTTGCTCCTATGATGGCTACTCTGACTGTTCAACCTCTACAGGGAGGAAGGGGCATCATGAGCTTCCTGACATGCACCATAGAAACCTGAGTCACATATCTTAGATCTAAATCAGAAAGTTTACGAGCAGTTAGTTAAAAAATAAAATCCATAAACGCTAGATCCTTTAGTCTCAGCTGGACTGGGAAGACAGGTTTCTAACCAGTTCCTCTGATGAATGCACCACATGGCACGGTCCTCTCACCAGAGCCTGCTGAACGCTGTCATGGGTCGTCGTAGAGACGCGGTCCTGTGGTCCAGGCGGGCAGGGCGCCGTCCCACCTGGACTCGCTAAAGCACCGTCCTCTGGTCCCATAGCTGCCGTAGTGCTGCTGCACACAGGTAGAGGTCTCAGCACCGACTTCTCTGCAGACACAGACCCAAACAAAGCCACGAAACGCTGAATTTCTTACTTTCAAAAACCATAACTGGTGGAGGAATCTCACACACTGGTGTGTTATCTGCACACCTTCCCTCTCTCTCTCTCTTAACTTTTTTTATCACAATTGTCTATTTTTGCTCATTTTAAATATATTTTTAAACATTTTCTAAATGCTTTTTTATGTTTTTACATTTTTTGTTTTTGTGAAGCGCCTCGTGATTTTTATCTTGAATGAAATGATATTTTCTTCTTTTTAGAAGCATTATTTCACTTTTACTTGTGGATGAAGACAGAATCGCTGTAAAAGAACCAGAACACGCTGCTTTTAACAGAAGTGAAGGTTTATAGTGAGACTCCAACAGCACCAGAGGGTTCGGCCAGTAAAGCAACCTGAGTGGACTTAGGTCATGGGTAAACTAAATCTTGATGGAGTTTGGTCGTCTTTAGCGCATGGGGGGGGGGGCTCAGCAGGAATAATCCAGAAAAACCATTTAAACATAAAAAGTGAGAAACAAGATGTTTCTAATGATAACGGGCATTTTCAGTGGTGCTGACACATAAGCTCATCGCTTCTCTTTATAAAAAAACAACAAAAAACATCGAACTTCATCTAAATTCTTTTTTTTTTGCAAGACAAACAGAAAAGTCAGAACCGCGAATTCACACAAATGTTAAAATTCAAATAAAAAACAAAAAATGTGAAGGAAACAGTCTTAGTTGAACTAAATCTTTTCATTGAATAAAAAGGTCGACTTTACTCACACATGTGGACTTAACCATGAGGAAGCGTTAAAACACGTGACTGGCAGTGTTGTTTTTGGTCTTGGAGAGCCGACTTCTCCGATTCTTTTCCACGTATCCAAACGCAGCACAAAGCCCGACTTCCCCCCAGCTCTCCACCAATCAGCGCTCAGCGTTAGTAGTAAACAAGCGCCAGAGTGTGGGTGTGACGCGGCCGCTGATTGGCTGAGCGCGGGTTTCTCGGGTACACACCCCCAGACTAACAACGTGTTGTGACACGAGTTTAACCGGGAGGGACCGGACCGAATGAGGAAGAAACGGCTGAAAACATCAAGACTGAATAAAATAAAACGACATAAAAGCCCTCTGAAAAACACGATTACCGTTAAGGTTTACTCATATGAGATGGGATTCGTGCTGCGCGTAAACAACCCGTTTAAATGCAAGAAAAACAACAAAAAGTGGTATAAAACGATCTTATTAGCTGCTGATGGGCACGTGCTGCTAATATCTGTTCCCAGAATGCAGATGATGTATTTAGCAAACAATGGTGTCGAAAAGCTGGTTTCTACACAACGATTCAGCTTGAAATCATGCAAGAGGATAAATCCAAATACTTAAAAAGCACAGTTTGGTTGGTTTTATGTGACCGTTGAATGTAATTTGGGAAAATAATTGCAAAAAGTGTCCATTAAACATGTCCAACTGCCTCACTGATCTCCACCCGGCAACACAGACCTAGATCCGGAGAACCACCCCCTCCCTCCCCCTGCTCACACCGCCGAAAAGAAAACATCCACCGCGAAGTCCGTCTCAGTGTCTCCAAATGCACAAACGTCGGTCATTTTAAACCACGGACCTACCTCCTCGGTTCTCTTGGCTTTTGGGTCCGGTCCAAGCTGCAGCGGGTTGTTGCAGCCTGGCTATCCCGACGTTCGCAGGGTCTGGTCTAGTAGGAGGAAGGGGGTTGGTCGGATACGCGCCTACGTGTGAGAGCCTGGTGGACCAATGCCGGAGGTGACAGCTGGGCTGAGCGCAAATACTAGCCAGCAGCGCGCCGTGCACAAAAGGATGATGTAGCTGAGGGGTTACCACATCATCATCATCATCATCATCATCATCATCATCATCATCATCATCATCATCATCATCTCTGTTTACAACTTCAGTCAGACAGCATCCAACATGGCTTCTGTCCAAACACAAACATGACCTAAACTGTTTGTTTTTTTAATTTTTGCACTAATGAACATTGCATTCACTCCCTTTTGTCACTAAACATCCCTTCATGATGCGAATAGACTAGAAATATGCAAATCACATTAAAAAATTTAACTATGGAGCCACAAACCATGTGGGGTCACAGATACGACCTTTCACGAGTGCTTTACTAATGGAGTGTATCTGTGATCAGATGGATCCTGTTAAGCTCCAGAACTTGACATAACATATAAGCAATTGTACTGCCTTAAAGATTTCATTAACAGCTTCCTAGAAATAAAGGTGGATTTCAATAATAAAGATGCCCCCCATTACATGATAAATTGCCAGCACATCAAACCCGACTCGTGCACGTGTGTGTTAGTTTCTGTGTGAGACCGGATTAGTGTTGCCTAGTCTGCACCCTCTCTACCAGGTATCCAGTCAGCAGGGATTTTAGGGTCTGAGCACAGATCCAGTCTGGGAGTATAACCCAGGCCTCCTGGTCCCAATCCCAAACCTGAAGGCATTCCTTCCTTTCCTCATGATTCACACATTAATTAAAACCAGTAAGATGCAAGCAAGTTGGTAATGATCAGTAAAGACCAGATCAGGGAGCAAATAAAGATGTACAACAGTGAGTGAGAGAGGTTTCAACATGACATTAATAAGTTGTTGTGGCCCAGTCAACAGGTGAATGGATTTTGTGGAAATCAGAGGAAAATTTGTATCTTCAGTTTGGATAACCTTATCTTTAAAGGGCAGGTCGAGCCTGCATCAGTCCTTCTCCACCCACGTATCAATTTTAAATACTGCAACATTAGTAGGCGTTACCTGGCGGACCGAAAGGGCGGAGCCGCGGCAGTGACGAAGACGGATGGGTAACAGGGCAAAGCTAGCTCCCTTCACTCCGAGCAGTCATTAGAAGTGGAGGACGTTTCTCCCCCTCCTTACCCAGACACTTGAGAAGAAAGGAACCACGTCTATTTGGAGGAGACAAACGGACCTGAGCCTTATTGTTTTGAGCTTGTGAGTTGCCTGAAACCACCGGAGCTGACCCAACAGAACCAGCTCTGAATGGTAAGTAGCCTTTAGGCACAGCATTAGATTAGATTTTTAGGTTTGGCTCCACGGCCCTAGAGAGCTGTTATGTTTTAGAGGTTTATCTGCTTCAACACACCTGATTTTAATCAGCAGCAAATAGCTGAGCTGCTGAACAGCTAATCTAACATGTTAAAGTAGGAAAACCACTGAAACGTGTCGATAGCAGCTCTCCAGGACACGGCCACGTACTCTGGGCTAGTTACTGTCCGCTGCAGAGAAAGTTAAAAAAATAGCCCATGAGAAAATTCTGTAATGTGTTCATTTATGTTACACAATCACAAACAGCCCACTAAAACTGCCCTGATTTCATTATTTACGGATACCAGCTGCTCTCTTGGATGTAGGTGGTCCTCAAGTGTCTGCAGCTGGTCTCCTCTGGTGGTGTCGTCAGGATCAGGAGCTTCCAGAAGAATGTGCCTTTGAACGATTCTGTCCTCCTCTAAACAGTTATTTGTTATATTATTTAATTATTATATTCAGAGGATCTTTCATGGATGTACAATCAAAAAGTCGGAGTACCCGGCCCGGAGGGTTACCGGGGGTCCCACCCTGGAGCCAGGCCTGGGGTTGGGGCCCGTGAGCGAGTGCCTGGTGGCCGGGCTTTCGCCCATGGGGCCCAGCCGGGCCCAGCCCGAACCGGGTACATGGGCTCATCCAACTGTGGACCCACCACCCACAGGAGTAACATGAAGGGTCCGGTGCAGTGTGGATCGGGTGACAGACCAAGGTGGGAACCTTGATGGTCCGATCCCCGGACAAGGAAAATGGTTTTTTGGACATGGAACGTCACCTCGCTGGCGGGGAAGGAGCAGGAGCTTGTGGCAGAGGTAGAGGCGGAGGGCTGGGGTTGGCTTTTGTTAGCCCCAAGACTCTCTGCCTGTGTGTTGGGGTTTAACCCGGGGGACGAGAGGGTAGCTTCCCTGCGCCTTCGGGTCGGGGAACGGGTCCTGACTGTTGTTTGTGCTGATGGGCCAAATATCAGTTCAGAGTACCCACCCTTTTTGGAGTCCCTGGGACGAGTGCTAGATAGTGCTCCATAGGGGACTCCATTGTCCTGCTGGGGGACTTCAAGGCTCACATGGACAATGACAGCATGACCTGGAGGGGTGTGATTGGGAGGAACGGCCCACCTGATCTGAACTCGAGTGGTGTTTCGTTATTGGACTTCTGTGCAAGACGCAGTTTGGCCATAACGAACACCATGTTCGAACATAAGGATGCCCATCAGTAAACTTGGTACCAGGGCAGCCTAGGTCGCAGGACGATGATAGACTTTGTAGTCGTATCATCTGACCTGCGGCTGTATGTTTTGGACACCCGAGTGAAGAGAGGAGCGGAGCTGTCAACTGATCACCACCTGGTGGTGAGTTGGATCAGATGGCAGGGGAAGATGCCGCGTAGACCTGGCAGACCCAAACGCATAGTGAGGGTCTGCTGGGAACGCCTGGCAGAAGAACCTGTCAAGACGGTCTTCAACTCCCACCACTGCGTTCCGAGAGCAGTGGTGGGACATCGACTCCGAGTGGGCCTTGTTTCACTGTGCAATTGTTGAGGCAGCTGTTGCTAGCTGTGGTCGCAAGGTGGCCGGTGCCAGTCATGGTGGCAATCCCTATAACCGCTGGTGGACACCAGAGGTTTGGGGAGCTCTCAGGCTGAAGAAGGAGGCCTACAGGGCGTGGCTGGTCTGTGGGTCTCCGGATGCAGCAGGCAGGTACCGGATGGCCAAGCAGGGTGCCGCAGTGGCAGTTGCCGAAGCAAAATGTCGGGCATCGGAGGAGTTTGGTGAGGCCATAGAAAAAGACTATCAATCGGCTCCAAAGAGGTTCTGGCAAACTGTCCGGCGCCTCAGGAGAGGGAGGCAGCAACTTGCTCACACTGTTTACAGTGGGGATGGGGAGCTGCTGACGTCAACTGGGGCTATAGTCAGACGGCGGAAGGAATACATCCCACCTACGCACATTCCGAGGAGGAACCAGAGCCGGGAGACCTGGGGATGGACTGTCCAATCTTGGGGACAGAAGTTGCTGAGGTAGTCAAACAACTACACAGCGGTGGAGCCCCGGGGGCGGATGAGATTCGTCCTGGGTATCTCAAGGCTATGGATGTTGTAGGGCTGTGGTGGTTGACACGTCTCTGTAACATTGCGTGGTCATCGGGGGTAGTTCCTGTGGAGTGGCAGACTGGGGTGGTGGTCCCCATCTTTAAGAAGGGTGACCTGAGGGTGTGTTCCAACTATAGGGGGATCACACTCCTCGGCCTCCCTGGAAAGGTCTACTCCAAGGTACTGGAGAGGAGGGTCCGATCGATAGTTGAATCTCAGATTGAGGAGGATCAATGTGGTTTTCGTCCTGGAACTGTGGACCAGCTCTATACCCTTGCAAGGGTGATGAAGGGGGCATGGGAGTTTGCCCAGACAATCCACATGTGTTTTGTGGATTTGGAGAAGGCTTATGACCGTGTCCCCAGGGGCACCCTGTGGGGGATGCTCCAGGAGTATGGGGTGGGTGGCTTTCTGTTAAGGACCATTCAGTCCTTTTACCAGAGGAGCGTGAGTTTGGTCCGCATAGCCGGTAGTAAGTCGGACCTGTTCCCGGTGAGGGTTGGACTCCACCAGGGCTGCCCTTTGTCACCGGTTCTGTTCATTACCTTTATGGACAAAATTTCTAAGCGCAGCCGTGATGTGGAGTGTGTCGAGTTTGGTGGCAGGAGAATCTCATCTCTGCTTTTTGCGGATGATGTGGTCCTCCTAGCTTCATCCAGCTCTGACCTTCAGCTCTTGCTGGGTAGGTTTGCGGCCGAGTGTGAAGCGGCTGGGATGAGGATCAGCACCTCCAAATCTGAGACCATGGTTCTCAACCGGAAAAAGGTGGCTTGCCTACTGCGGGTCGGGAGAGAGGTCCTACCGCAAGTGGTGGAGTTCCTACCTCAAGTGGAGGAGTTTAAGTATCTTGGGGTCTTGTTCATGAGTGAGGGTAGGAGGGATCGGGAGATCGACAGGCGGACTGGTTCAGTCTGAAGTGATGCGGACGCTGAGCCGATCTGTCGTGGTGAAGAGGGAGCTGAGTCAGAAAGCCAGGTTTTCCATTTACTGGTCAATCTATGTCCCAATCCTCACCTATGGTCATGAGCTTTGGGTAATGACCGAAAGAACGAGATCGCGGATACAAGCGGCCGAAATGAATTTCCTCCGTAGGGTGGCCGGGCTCAACCTTAGAGATAGGGTGAGGAGCTCGGACATTCGGGAGGGCGATAATAGCCCTCCTCGTACAAGTCAGGTAAAAACTGAGTTAGCAATGCAAAAAATGCAGCCTGCTTAGTGTACTCCATTTATTTAATCCGGCTCTGCACACACACACACACACACACACACACACACACACACACACACACACACACCTAAGGACAATTTAGACAGACCAATGAACCTAACTGTCATGTTTTTGGACTGTAGAGGAAGCTGGAGAACCCGGAGAGAACCCACGCATGCACAGGGAGAACATGCTAACTCCACGCAGAAAGATCCCAGGCTGGGAATCGAACCCAGGACCTTCTCGCTGCAAGGCAACAGCTCCAACCACTGCGTCACTGTGCAGCCCTTATTTTGTCCCCATTAAATTTAAACATTGATGTATATAAGCAACGGGGGGGGGGGGGGGATTCGATGGCAAACTTATGTTTCACGGTGACATAAATAAGATGATCATGAATTGTTATATTATTGCATGAAATTTAAAGGCTAACACTAATCCGACAGCATGAACGAAAATGAGCATTTCTTCTTTGTCTTTTAGAGAAAGTGTTGCAGTTATTCCACCGCTGCACCTGTAACAGCAGCACAAGCAGTCACCAGCAGGTGTCGCAGTTGAACAGTGTTGTACTACTAAACATACTGGAAGTGTACCCTGTGCATAACTTCACCCACACTTGTAACAACACTGAGCCTTTCAAGGCTACTGTCTGCTTTGTGGAGAAATGGAGGCAAAATGCTGCTTTCTGTGTCCTTGTGATCGTAAAAACGTAATGTTTTGACTATAAAGCTTTGGCATTTTTAACTATCTTGTATGTTTGTGATTCTGTGTTCCTGCTTTGCAATTCAACCTTCAGCCAGGTTTCCTCCAGGGTGGACAAATCCTCAAAACACAACTATATTATCTGGTCTAATGCACAAAAAGCACATCCAGAAAACTCAAATGCAATCATTTTATTAGGACATTAATGAGAATTTTAAAAATTTTATAATTATGAAAAACCTGAATCTTTTGAAGCTTTAAAATTATTTTGAATAGTTACACATATGGCATGAAGCACTATAAATGTCATACATTATATAGAAAGATGTTAAAACAATAGAGAAGTAGCATTGACTGAAACTAGGGGTTTTAAAGTTAAAATAAGAGAATAAATATCACCGAAACAATAAAAGTTTGGTTTGCTCATTTCACCCAGACTGCCACAAGCGCCGCAGAAGGACCATAAATCGTCGCACTGCCATTGGACAATAAAAACAAAACAAAGCCACTTGATTGGCCCATTTTGTGTCGCTTCTATGATTGACCAATCAAACCTCTGAAAGGCGGGGCTTGTGGATGGCGTTAGTGCTGAGAGTCTAGTCCGCCGCTGCCGGGGACAGACAGGCTGATAGGTCGGGGAAAGTGCCACCGAGACCAGACTTCGTGCCTACTTCAGTCAGTGCCACCTCCCCAGGGACAACCCGGTGAGTTTTCAGTCGTGATTGACTTAAATCCATAACTTCCGGCCGTCAGAGTGAGCTTTAATTCAGTCAAACCGTGATTAAAACCAGCTTGTTGAAACGCTAACCAGCAGCTAGCCAACTTCAGGTAGTTTTCCCGCAGAGGAATTGGTTATTTGTTAGCGTTTTGTTAAGCATGTAGTTACAGATATTAGTCTTTACTCGTGTCGTGTGTGGACTTCCCACGTTCAGGAGGCGAACATCAGGTCTCAGTAGCTCGGGGCTGCTTCTCCCTCCAACTCTCACCTGCTTTAGCTGCATTTTGGCTTTCAGGTGAAGGGAAGTGCTTCAGAAACCCGGTTTGTGGTCTTTACGTCCGCTTTTCCCCTCACTTCCTCCTCTGCTCGTTGCTGCTCAGAGCTGAGAGGCTGGCTGTTGTGGGGCAGGTGGCTGGTTGAACACTTGGTCCAGCTCTACTTCAGGAATATTTGTGAAAACTGGCTCCAGCATCTGCAGTGGCCACACACATCACAGCAGCTATCACAACCTTGTTCTTGTAGGATATTCAGATTCTTAATTTGACCATTTAATTCATTTTCATCTGTTTGTCAGTATTTGGGCTTTTGGATCTGAAGGGATGGTTCCGATCTTTTGATGTGGGTTGTTGTGGAAGAGCTGTGAACAAGCAAGATCTTACCTGCTGCTGGTGGCTCTAACAGCCTCAGTCTGGAGAAACAAAGAATAATCCTGATCAGACTGATGAGCCAGTCTTAAAGGTGTGGCAGACTGAAAAAGCTTTCTTTAAATGTTCTTTTAAATTATAATCAGTCACTCTTGGTTATTCATGCAGGCCGAACATAAAAATACTCTCCTACACCTATCTCCTGCAGTAGCCTCTGATAGAAAAAGGACGGTGAAACTCTAAGATTAGAAAAGCCTGACAGTTCTACGTCACACTGTCACTTAACATTCATGGACTCGCCCATCATGACTCACAATAGGGAAGGCTGTTGTTGGTTTAACATCCAGGAAACTGCAGAGAACATCTCAGCTAGTAGAAGCTAACCGTTAGCATTAGCAACACCGCCACACAGCAGAAGTCCTCCATGATTGTGATATTTGTAGAGATAAAGCATCCATGTTGCAGAGCAAACAGAGTCAGTGGTAGAGTCATGTTGCTGCTATCCGAATCTGGGGGTTGATGTCTAAACGTCAGGAAATAAGCTGTGATGTGGGCAACCCCTGCCCCAAGTACAACTCACAAGGCATTCGTTCCTACTAGAGACCATTGCAAATGTATTGATTAAACAAGTGATCCACTCCTTTAATTGAGCTGCAGGTAACTGCCAGCTATATTGAAATTGTATACTTATAAATATCAGTAGTTTATAATTCTGTACACGTCCTGCAAAATTAGCCACTCATGGTAAATTACAATTAAACGTGGTTATTTAATTTTTCAGCACAGTGCTAAGTTGACGGCAGTTTTAAAAATCCCTTCAGATAAACTGCTATTTGTTTTTTTTTAGTTAGTAAAGATGGCAGCAATCCAATAAGTGACTCTCTTCTCGATCCCCAGTGAGTCGTGGAGGATGGCTGCTTATACTGAGCCAGGATTCTCTGGAGTTTTCTTCCTGTTAAAAGGGAGTTTTCCTCTCCACTGTCGCTGCATGCTTGCTTAGTATGAGGATTGCTTTAAAGACTCTGACACTAGTCAGTGACTCGATGCGACCTGCTGGGTTCCTTATATAGGAAACATTATTTCTGATTGGCTTAATGACCTGTGAATTGGAATGTTTATTATGTGAAGTGCCTTGAGACGACTCTTGTTGTGATTTGGCGCTTTATAAATAAACTTGACTTGAATGAACTAGCTAGTGTCTAATTTCTACCTCCTAGCTGAAGTTGTTGAAGAGAAAATATTATCCTTGATAACTTTTTCATTGGAACGCATTTCAAAACATCTGGAAACATTAAAGCAATAACATTTACTATGCTGTGTTTGATTTGTGATGACTACATCAGGTTTCAGGTCCAATGGTGACTTTGACGTTTACACTAGCCGTTGTGATTAATAAGGGGTATGTTTTTACCGCCGTCGCTTGTTCTTTGGTTGCCAGTGTGTGTTTGTGCTTGAACTGCTCTCGATGTATGGAAATGGTGCTCTTTTGTCCAAGAGAACATACGGCAACAGCTGCATTCTCCACCACTGTGTGTGTGTGTGTGTGTGTGTGTGTGTGTGTGTGTGTGTGTGTGTGTGTGTGTGTGTGTGTGTGTGTCCTGTTTTGAGCCAGCATTTCTGGAATGCTTCCTGAATGTAGTGACTTGAGCATGTAGCACAATGGTTGCAGTGAGTCGTGCTCCTGGAACACGGTGGCATGTTTTGCATGTCCGTTGCATTTGCTGGCCCAGTCACGTGACCTTCAGCCTTCTCTTGAATGGTTTGGGACAGTTGCTGTACGCTGGAGTTTAGTGTGAAACCAAAACTGAGACATTATCATTTCCAGTGTGAGCATTTTAGAAAGAACATTGACCACAATGGATGGTATGCACTAATCATATTTCCAATTTTAAACCATGTAATCATGTGATCATCAAAGCGGCACAGGTGTTTTTTTCTGTTTTGTTTGTTTTTCCTGCGTGCCTGACTGATCCAAGACCTGCTGTATGGATGTGGTCGTCTGTTGCTCATTTTCAATCCGTCACTCGACATCATTTGAGAGTGTGAGGTGAGAGTATGAGGTGCTAGCTTCCTAACGGCGGAAAGGAGTTTGCCGTAACAACACTGTCAACCTGAAGAAACCGCTTCTCTTCTTTCTTAAAACATGGAATTTTTCTAATGGCACAAACCTTTGCAGAGTTAATAAAAAACACATCTTAAGGTTGTCTTTGGTGTTTGGAGTAGTTCACCTGGCCTTTATAACACAATTCTTACTGTGGTTTAGTTCGTTTGCCTTGTTGGAGTAACAGCTTTTAGTGTTTTGATGGTCCGTCACTTCCTGTCATGTTTACTGTCAGGGCTGAAGTGAATCATAGATAGATAGATGGATAGATGGATAGATAGATAGATAGATAGATGGATGGATGGATAGATGGATAGATGGATAGATGGATAGATAGATAGATAGATGGATGGATGGATAGATGGATAGATGGATAGATTGATAGATGGATGGATGGATGGATGGATGGATAGATGGATAGATAGATAGATAGATAGATAGATAGATGGATGGATGGATAGATGGATAGATGGATAGATAGATGTACTTTGTTGATCCCAAACTGGGAGATTACAATGCAGCAGCAGTATTACACACACTAAAAACAGTTAAACATATACAAGCATGGTAGCAACATTAAATGGCCTAATGTATAAAAACATCAAGTGTGTACTGACTGTATACTATGAACCAGAGTTTAGGTATTGCACACGTGGCAGGGAAGACCTGCTGTATTCCTTTGACGTCGGCGCTGCAGCAGCCTGTGTGAGTCGGTGCTCCTCTGTCCGTCTGCTGTGTGACGGAGGAGCTGCTGTCGTTGTCCATGATGCAGCGGCTCTATTCATTAAATTCCTTCATCTTTTTTTACTGATTCAAAGCTTCGTTAAAGAAGTGCACCACGGTCTAAACACATTTTACTGGCAGTCTGGCACACAGTGTGGTAGTCTAGGTGCAATGGAGGTAAATAGAGAAACCAGCAAAACCACAGACCATTAGGAAAGGCAGAAACGGTCCGAGTTTTGGGATCAAGAGTTCAACTCTGGGCAGATTGGCTAATGCATGTAGTATGCTCGTGATCAAGTGGGGTTCAGAAAAAACACGATGGCTGTGAATGACTAAGCTCTACAAGCAGAAGAAACATCCCCACTGTCCTATGTATTTGTGGATGTCTGCAGCTACAGCGGTATGGAGCAGAACCTCTGCAGATACCTGGAGTTCGGGTTGTTGCTACGAGCCTGCTCCACACTGCAGCAGGGCTACGGAAAGCCGTGTAGCATGTAACTCGTAAACGCTTCTGTCTTGGAGTATAATTTAGACTGGATTATGTTGGTAACTCGTACATAATGAATAGATATGCCACCATTACATTGTTACCAGTAGAAATTAGGGCTGCACGATATTAGGAAAACCTGCGATATTCGATAACAGTGATTTATATTGCGATGACGACATTACTTGCGATAAATAATAACTTAACTCAGGAACAAAAATAATCAAACAAAGAAATAAAAAAATCATAAAAATGAGAAATGCAAAAGATGTGAGGAAAGGGAAAAAGAAAATGACCAAGAAAAGGCGATCGTGGGTCCCGGGAAAAGCAGAATCAGCAGAACAAAGCGAACTCAGGTGTTTGCTAACCATTAAAATTAAGTGCCGTCCACCTCGGGGGTGGGAATCTAACCTATGAGAACCCACCCGATTGACCAAATGGGCGAAGAGCTCTATTTTGTTTGTTAAACATCATGCTTCTGTTTGATTGACAGAACGCGTTATGTGAAGCAAACATTTGAGCTGACCATTCGTTGCGATATTTTTGTTCTTTGCGATATGCATATCGCTCATGCTGATATCGCGATAACGATATGTTTACGATATGTTGTGCAGCCCTTGTAGAAATGAAATATTAGCATTTCCAGTAGCTTACTACTGAACGTCTGAATGAAATACCATCATCTGTGGATATATTTGGATATGTTATTTAGCCTATAATGGGTGCTATTAATACAAGCTTAAATGTTAATGATATATAAGCTTTTGTAATTTTGTTCCATAAAATATTCATTAACTACAAATGTCCACTGGAAAAGAACTACAAAACACCAATTTACCTCTCAAGTTAAATCACATGTTGAGCCTTTTCTGATTTAGTTTTCATATTAGCAGCAGACCAGTTTCCCTGTTAATCCATTCAATCGAATATTCCAATACTAAAATATTCGATAGCTGCAGCCCTACTTACTGTACAGTCTGACTATTGTGCTGCAGCTTCATTTGTAAAAAATTGTGATTTGAATTGAAATT